GTTTGGGGATACCACCCAACCCGACAGTGAGCATTCCGCTGTTCGGTTTTCTGGATTTGTACCTTAAGCGAAGGCTAGTTTAAGAGTTGGTAAATAAATCGGAATATGTACCTTAAACTAATGACCTAGCTTAAGAGTTGGTTAGAAGTACCTTGAACTAGTAATAGTTTAAGAGTTGGTAAAAATAGATTGGCCTTAGACTAAGAATAGTTTAAGGATATTGTTAAATGACAAATGATGAATATTGTATGATGTATGTTGAATAAAAATGTTGAATATGAATGATGAATATACATGTTGAATAATTGAATAATGAATGTTGAGAATTGTATATTGATTATTGAATATCTGAATTGAACATTATGTGCATGATATCAAATGGTTGATTATGAATTGAGATTCAATTTATATGGATGTTCGAAGCATTAGATATGCTTACTCAGCTTTACCGCTGAGCGTGTAGTATGTTTTGTTTGCTACACGCAGGTCAATAGAATGATGTGACATGATCCTGGAGGCAGACGGAGGCGAGATAGTCGGAATGGATGTGATGGTTTTGAATTAAAGAATATAAATAAATTATGTTTGTGGTTATGATTTGTTAAGCTTCCGCAATATTGAAAACTCTGTACTGTTTATGATATGAAAAATATTATTATGATAAACAAAAGTGTTTGAAAAGTTTTAAATTTTACAAATTACCAAGTTAATACTTTAGTCCGAAAGGGGCTGCAGACCTAGACGGATTAGGGTGTTACACTCCATATGTTTTAGGTAGACATACCTCCTCCCAATTCACCAGAGGGATCTTGGTGTAGTTAGCTTTGGAGCCCCAAAGAAAATTTCTGCAAATGCTCTGCACCTTCCTCATGACCTTAGAGGGTATGATAAAGAGTTGGCTCCAGAAGGTCATAATTCCAAAGAGTACTGTGTTGACTAGCTGACATCTTCCTGCATAAGTTAGGTGCCTAGTAGCCCAAGTTGATATTTTATTTGTGATGTTACAGACCAATCTGTCACATTCTTTTTCCCCTATCCTTGAAGCTGATATTGGGCTCCCAAGGTATCTGATGGGGAGGTCTCCCGGGGGGAGGTTTGTTAATCTTAGGAGCTTCCCTTGGGTATCCTT